AGAGAGAAGAGGGAGGAATAGTGGAATATTATGATAGGTGGGTCCCACATTTTTTAATAAATAAAATGTTGACTAGACTGGCACGTGTACGCCACATAGACCAAAACCACCGTGGATTGGGTCTAGGGGGGTAATTTGTCCGGTTTGCATAGTTGGGGGTGAAGAATGTCCGGTTTTGTGGTTCAGGGGGTAATTCGGACGACCGCGATAGTTTGGGGGAGGGGGGGTAATTAGTACTTTTCCCATTAAACTATCTTGTTGTCGTCATGAACTATGTTGCTGTCATTTGAACTATCATGTTGTCGTCATGAACTATGTTGTATTCATGAACTATGTTATTGTCATTTGTATTGTGTTGTGTCATGAAGTGTGATGTTCTATTTTTAAATGTCACCTCCATTTGTATGATTTATGTTCATTTTAAATGTCACACAAGATAAATTGTTGGATATTTTAATTATCAGAAGATGACAACACTGGGGTAGTACTTGGTATGTTCATGTATGCCGAACACTATGACAAATTCTGCAATAGGCCGGATCCACCAAGAACCACAATTGTAACTGGACTAGAATGGATAGAGAGGAAGCTGGCTAATAGGAACAAATGGTAGAATATGTTTCGAATTGCACCCACTTTGTTCCATCGATTTCATGATCTTTTGGTTGATTCATATGGTTTGAAATTTAGTAGCAAGAGTACTTCTACTGAAGCTCTATGTAGCGCCCGTTCCGTCGTGGCGCCTAGCGGGAAAATTTAAATTCTAAAAACCCTAATTGCGAAAATTGTTTCTTCGCTTGCAGTCAGTCTCCGTGCCATTCCGGATCTCGAATCCCCGATCCATCGTCAAATACAAACCCTAATCTCAATTTTCCTTCCCAATTCAATTCCTCCGCAAAAGTCTATTTTGCCTCCCTCAGGTTCGATGGGCCGATTTCCTCTCGGCCCATCTCTCTCTCCCTCCCTCTCTCTCTCTCCCTCCCCCCTCTCTCTCTCTCCCTCTCTCCCTCGCTCTGCCCGTGCGCCGCGCGCGCGTGCGCATGAGCCGCGCTGAGCCGAGCGCCCTCCGCCCTCGCTGCCGCTTCCCGCCAACGCCGCCCAAATCATCACCGCGCGCCGTTGCTTCCCGCGCGCGCGCGCCGTGGTGGCCGACCGGCCAGTCGCCGCCGCCGTCAGCGCCTGCCCCGCGTCTGCCGCCCGGCCGTCATCGCCGTCGTCACGACCCGGCTCCCGCCGCCTCCGCGCTTTAGCTTCCAAGGGATGGAGGCTGAGCCCCTCCTCCCTCTACTGCGTCGCCCTCTCTCCCTCCTCCTTTTTCCCAAAGAGGCAAGGGGCAAGCCCCCTTTCTCTCCTCCTTTTCCCCTTTTCTCTCCCGCCGGCGTCATTCCCCCATGTCGTCGTTTTGGCCGCGACCGCCGAGTGCTAGCTCGCTCCCTTGACCGCCCTAGGTCGGTTCCCAAACCGACATCGCCTCCTATTTAACCAAGGCGCCCTCCCATCGATTCCTCCTCCCGTTTCGCTCGCCACCACCGTGCCATTGCCGCCCCTCTGTCTCGCCTTCACCGTTCATTGCCAAGCACCGGGAGAGCCGGAGCGTGCGAAGGGCGCGTGAAGGGGACTCCGGGCGCACGTCTTCCTCCTCTTCCCCGGCCCGAGGCCGGAGCGATCACGCCCCGCGCCGTGTGGGTAAAGTGTACCCCCTCTGCAGAGGTTATTAAACTATTCGAACAGCCGTGCCCACGGTCATGGGCGGATGTGAGGTGATTCCTAGCGTAGTTTTGTTTGACTACTGCTTTGAGAAATTTGCTGCTGTGGAATGAGTTCGATGTTTGGTAAATCTGCGGCTGATGGGATCAGCCAGGCCCGGGTGGCCGTTTTAAGGTTGTTGGCCGGGTGCCAACCTTGAATCAATTCAAAGACTGATACATTGCACATACTCTGACCGGACGAGACGCACTGTCCCATCTGTGTCGTTTGAGAAGCACTCACTTAGTTGTTTCAAAAAGGAGTTTAAATAAAATCAATTACAAAAACAACAGCCTATCCTTTGAAGCCTGCATTAAACACCTAATTCCCATGGCTTGCTGAGTACTCGTGTACTCACCCTTGCTCTATATAAATAACCCCCCCAGTTGCTGAACAAGATGAAGTGGATCCTGTTGACGAGGAATTCTTCCAGGAGCAAGTTGGTTACGATGAGTTTTAGGGTTTCGGCCTAGTTCCCAAGTCGCGCCTGTGATGTTTGGTCAAAGTCTTGGCTTCCGCTTTCCCCTTTTGTAATGCAGTTGTGAGCTCGGGATCTGTCCGCAGCCCAACATGACTGTACTTCTACTCTATAATAAAGAGACCTCTGTTGCTGTGATATTCGGTCTTCCTGTGATACCAGCACTGTTTCCTGGGACTGGTATCGATAAACAGGTTAATTTGGAGCGTCACGGGCTAGTTCCGTTCGGGGCTAGTTCGGGGCGTGACACTCTAGGAATGTTTCTTTGGATAGTAGGAGCACCACAATCTGTTAGGCAAGCTGAGAATAGGTTTGAGAGATGTCTGGTTAAGCTAGCTATAGATATCATTAAACCAATTGACCCAGAATTCAGAAGTGTTCACTCTAGATTGATGAACCGAAGGTTCCATCCCTTCTTTGATGGTTGTATTGGAGCATTAGATGTCACACACATACCTTGAGCTGTGCCAAAGAATAAGGTGGCCCAGTACATGTGCCGCAAGAATATGACAAACACAAAATGTGCTAGCTCTTTGTGACTTTGATATGAGGTTCACATTTGTCCTTGCTGGATGGCATGGCTCTGTACATGACATGAGGGTGTTCATTGATGCTACTACCAAGTACAACAATGTCTATCCACATCCACCGACGGGCAAAGAACTTGCGTCTTACATTAATTAATATTTGCATGTTTTCCATTTGAATGATACTTACACTGTCGTCTACTTGTGTAGGAAAATATTATTTGGTGGACTCCGGCTACCCTAACCGTCCTGGCTACCTTGCACCTTACAAGGGAACCAAGTACCATCTTTCGAAGTTCTGCTGAGAAGGCCTGAGGCCAGAAGGTAAAAACGAGATCTTCAACTTCGCACATTCATCCCTTAAAAATGTCATCAAGAGGGCGTTTGGAGTACGTTTTGAAGATCAAGTGGAGAATTTTGTTGCACATTCACAGTTATCCATCACAAACGCAAACCGAAATCATAGTTGTATGCATGGCACTACATAATTTCATTAGAGCGAGTGGAATAGTAGATAGAGACTTTGATATGTGTGACCGTGATGAGAACTACGTTCCACCTGAAGCATCGGTCTCTCAGCCTAGAACCCAGCCAGCAAGAGATGAATCGGCGGTGTTGAATGCTTATCGTGACTCGATTGCCAATGGTTTGTTCAATAGAATATGAGTACTGTAGTGTTGTAATATTTGTGTTGTATGGACTTTTAATATTGTGTACTAGGACTTTTAATATGTATGTGCACATTTTAATGTTGCTATGCTATGGACTTTTAATATATATGTGGACACTTTAATGTTGCTATGCTATGGACAGTTTGGAGCAATGTGATACATTAGCAGCAGCAGCGTGCGCCTTCAGCCTAGCAGCAGCAGCAGCGCGCAGCAGCACAGCCGTGGAACAAGCAGCAGCTCGCACAAGCATCAGCGACGTTAGCATGGAGAGAAATAGCTCAGGTTAGCAGCTGCTGCATGCATACATGGGAGGGAGAGAGAGCATTTAATATGGGCAAATCTGTCTTTTATGGAAGAATGGCAAAACTTTTGTATGTCTCTAAACACCAACTACCAAAATTTCAATGCAAAAAACTTTTGCTACCAAGGTCATGTTTAGATTCAAAACTCTTTCTTCAAACTTTCAACTTTTCCGTCACATCAAATGTTTGGATACATGCATGGAGCATTAAATGTGGACGAAAAAAAACCAATTGCACAGTTTGCATATAAATCACGAGACGAATCTTGAGCCTAATTACGCCAAGATTTGACAATGTGGTGCTACAGTAAACATTTGTTAATGATTGATTAATTAGGCTTAATAGATTCGTCTCGCAGTTTACAGGCTATTAGTCTATGTTTAATACTTCAAATGTGTGTCCGTGTACTTAAAAAAAATTGGCACACAAACTAAACACAGCCCAAAACTTTTGTCATTCTTCATTTGTCATTTCACATGGATCTAAACATACTAAAATATATGGCACAACCACTTTTAACCCAAAGACCAAGAAATAATTATTATCACATTATAGTTTGGATTACCCTAATAAATAAAATGCATACACTCAATAAAATTAGAGATCTTAATAGTTAAGGATTTAAATAATAATATTTAGTAAAAAAATATGTGCTAGTTAATGACATGTGTGCACGCCTTATATTATGAAACAACTTTAAAAAGTAGCTGTTCCTTTCATTGCACTTTGGATCATAATTTTACATGAATTTGAACTGAGGCCACACTTTAACTAATTTTTTTTTACTTTGGACTATTGTCGATAAATGTTGTACAAAATAAAATGAAATTTAAGGATGATAGAAAATAAAACTTGTATAAAATGAAAATTTAAGGACGATTCAAAATAGAACTTGTGCAAAAAAAACTTAGGCAAAAATTTAATTTATTTTTTTAAAAATCATTTCTTCATAATAATAATAATAATGCAGATAGTAGTACACGATAAGAAATTACCATCCTCTGTACTTTTTGGGAGTGCAGGTGAAATTTGAAAACGCGAAATGAAATTGCCTTCGGTGATGTCCGCAACGCTACCCCGGGCCCCACTCACGTGCCGCCGCAGAGCTGCCGCGCCAGGCGGCACGCCCATCGCCACCGTCCACCGATCCAGCTGGCCGATCCTGCGCTCCAGATCGCTCCATGCTGCCGGCGTGGTAAAGCGCGTAGCTTCTCGTCGACGCTTTTGCCTCCGTCTATATAAGACTCTCTCTCTCTCTCTCGCTCGCTCCCTGCGTGTGGAAAAAGCTGAGAGGGGAAGAGAGAGAGAGGCGAGAGAGATCCATGGAGCGCTCGCTCCTCGCCGCCGTCCTCCTCGGCGTGCTCGCCGTCGCCTTCCCCGGCGCCGCGGCCGCGGTCGGGACCCAGCCGGGAGCCATGGCGAAGGCGTCCCGCGAGCCCTCCCCCCACGTCTCCCTATCCTGCGCGCCCCTCTTCCTTTGCAGGTTCGTACATGCACCCTGCACTGCCTCGATCCCTCTCCCCTCCCTTCTATTTCTCTGTGTGTTTTCGTCTGCCGCTTGATGTATTTGCTTATGTGATGTCTCTCTACCGTTCCGTTCGGTCGGATGTTTTGGTGTCTATCTACTAGCTGTTTGACGCCGACGATAACCCGTGAGTTGCAGTTGCAGGTCGTGCTGCAGCAGACACCGCCATCAGCGTCGGGCAGCTCTCAGGCCGCCGCATGCTCCCTGCTGCACGTATGGGTCATGAACGTTGATTCTGTTTATCAATTCGTGGAGATTGATAATGGCGTGTGGCCGTGTGCTTCTAACATGTTGATGTTTATTTTGCAGGAGAGGCGCCGTCCACCGGGAAGCCGCCTCCACAGCTCAGCGGTGCGGACGGTATCGCCAGGGATCGCCTTGCCGCTGTCTCCGGAGGTACTAATTAAGTAACATGCACAGCCTCACTTTCTCCCGAATGATGAATCTGGATTTTCTGGAGTACTTGTGTGAATACGGAGGTTTTTGCTCTCGGATTGAGCCAACCAACTGCTAGAACTAGTACTGCCGGACCTTATAACTTGCTCATTTGTTCTGGTATTAAGGCCTTATTTAGTTCACAAAAGAAAAATTTATAGGATCGAAACACAAGATCTAAGCCAATCAAAGAGGGTGAATGGTTGGTATATCCAAAAACCCAAACTTTTTACGGAATTAAAAATTATCCTCAAATTCGACGAATCGCGGTCCGAGCGAAGTAGATGTACCGGTCTGACCTCTTGGATATCGTCGGTCTGACCGAGGTTGTAGTACCGGTCGAACCGCCGAGATTAGCAGATGCGCCTGAAGTTGCCGTCGGTGTGTCATCGGTTAGACCGTCGAACTCGAGAAAACACAAATCGAAGAACTCTCAAAGTATATGACAACTTTATTGCTTTTCTCTGTGTTTACAAAGTGCAACAACAGCACTCCTTACAAAAAATCTCGACTAAACTCGAAACCCTAACTAAACTATCAACTCAATTGCTCTCAAAAGCGATACCGGGAAGCCTCACGCTCCCTCTCTATTTATACATGAGGTAGGCAGCCTAAAACCACGAACCAAACTCAAACTAGAAGTCCTAATCCCCATAGGAAACCTTCCCGTACAAGAAACAAACTTTACATAACCAATCATACCAAATTTGGACTCCTTCCAAATTCGACTCCGCACCCTATACGTACACAATACCTCCATCGTATGCCATATGGAATCTTCACCAACCACGTGCAACTCTAGCCTAAGTATCCCGCATGATATCTGACCATCACGGACATCGTCTTATCTCCAAGCCGACTCCCGATCCATCACCAGCAATACTCTCCCGAGGCATCAAGTCACCTACACATGAATCAAACAAAGAAATCATATTCCGAGACCAAGCTATCTCCAACTTGACTCATTAGTAGCAAACAACAGTATTACATACGTATAGTATTCATCTAGAAGCCATAAATATGAAACAATCACGGATATCCAAACAAACAACCCGAAACCGAAACCCACTGCGGTCTGACCGGTTTCCACGAGGAAAAACCAAATTTTTGCCACTTCGATTTCGCAAAAGCAATTTCTCTCTCCTTTTTCTGTTTACGAGCTAATCCGAAACAAAAAACCAACAAGATATCCATCTTTCCCAAAAAAACAAACAAGTATAGTTTTCTTTAGAAGATGGTTTTGTAAGATTTGTTTTTGTTTTTTTAGTGTTGCAAAAAGATAAGGCAAAATTCCGGCATACTTAAAAACTGTTTTCTCAACATTTGGTTTTGTCAAAATATCACCACGTTCAGTTACACTCAAAACATTGGGTTGATTTTTGGTGAAATAATCATGAACATCAAAACCAACACCCCTATTGTAGCTAGTCACTTTAGATTGATCTAAAATCATGTTAAGTTGTTTCTTACCATTAGAAAATCTTTGCAAAGAACTTTTCAGATAAGAAACCTCTTTTTCTAAATTAACACAATTTTCACAATCTACCATGACACCCCTTGCTTTTACGACATTTGGGGCAAGAAAACACTTCATTGGTTTTCACAATATCTTCCATGTACTCAACACGACCTAATGCATCTTTATGTTGAGCAATCCAAAACATCGTGTGGTTGTTTTAACTTTTTGGCACAAATTATGTTAAACATCAAACTAGTACGAAAAGCAATTTGATATTTTTGCAACAACTTTTTAGTCAAAAACAACTCATCCAAAGTGCGTGTGTGCAAAGCAAATCCAAGAGCTAGAGAATATCTATTTTTCAAATCATGTGCAGCATTGACATCTCTAATTTTAGAAATTTCATTCATTAAAACCTCACAACTTTTGCAATCATCATCATTGGGAATAAGAGATTTTAATCTAGCAATTTCAGAATTAAGAGATTCAATAATAAACTCATGTTTTCTATACATCTTCTCACACTTCTTATTTTTTGCACTTAAAATAAGAATATCTTCCTCAAAAGAACGTACCTCATTGTCTTCACACTCTAAATCCGATTCACCACGTGCCATGAAGCAAACACCGGAGATGTTCTTTCCCTTAACTTCATTTCCACTTTCACCATCTACATCGCTTAGTGGCTCAAAAGCGGCGTAGACTTGATCAAAAGCCTTCTTGAGAGTCTCCTTGATCTTCTTCCCTTTGAATGCACTCTTTGGCTTGTTGTCATTATTGGTCTTCTCTCCACCGTTGTCTTCCTTCTTGCCTCTCCCAAGCTTTGGACAATGCGAACGAAGGTGATCAGGAGAACCACATCCAAAGAACCGATTTGGTCCACCTTTTTTCTGTACCTAGCTTGAGAAAACTTGTTAGTAACCAAAACCAAATCCTCCTCCTCGAACTGTTCGAGTTGATCATCGGATATGGCATTAATTAAAGCAAGAATAGAAGACTTCGATGAAGAAACACCAACATCCAAAGAAGTCGAGGAAGAAACCAAAGCACTAGACTTAGAATCAACTTTACGAGAAAGAATATTCATCTCATGTGTTTAAGTTTTGTATAAAGCAAATCAAAAGTCAAAGTAGACATATCAACAGACTCCTAAAATGGTGTAACTTTCATCTCCCAAATAGACATGTCAAGACCATTCAAAAAGTGACGAGAAACCTTAGATTGTGTGTAATTAACATCATAAGAAGAATCAACAGATCTAAGATCGCTCAAAAATTTGTTAAACCTAGAAAGATAGTCATCCAAAGCTTCTCCAGGTTTCATCTCAAATATTATGTACTCTTTTTTGAAAAGATCCCGATGACGTTCTATAATATTAGTAGTTCCTTGATGAAAATTACTCAAAGCAATCCAAATTTCATTGGCGGTTTGAAGATGAGAAATACGATCATAATCCAAACGAGAAATCCCACTCAAAAGAATATTGCGAGCTTTGCAATTTTGTTCAAATTCAGTTTTTAAAGCAGCAATATTAATTTGTTCAGGAATTACATAAGGATTAGAAACTTTTCTCCAAATATCAAGATACCTAGCCATAATGTAAGATTGCATCTTACTACACCAATACGGAAAATCCTTTCCATCGAAAACATGGGGCTTAGTTGTGAATTTATTAGCCATGGCAAAACAACTCTAGATCATTTAAAATCTAAAGAAGAAAATGAGGCTCTGATACCACTTGTAGGATCGAAACAAAAGAACTAAGCCAACCAGAGGGGGGTGAATGGTTGGTATACCCAAAAACCCAAACATTTTGCGGAATTAAAAGTTACCCTCAAATTCAACGAATCGCGGTCTAACCAAAGTAGATGTGCCGGTCTAACCGCTCGGATATCGTCAGTCTGACCGAGGTTGTAGTACCGGTCGAACCGCCGAGATTAGCAGCTACGCTTGAAGTTGCCGCCAGTGTGTCGTCGGTTAGACTGCAGAACCCGAGAAAACACAAATCGAAGAACTCTCAAAGTAGATAACAACTTTATTGCTTCTCTCTATATTTACAAAGTGCAACAACAGTATTCCTTATAAAAATCTCGACTAAACTCGGAACCCTAACTAAACTATCAACTCAATTGCTCCCAAAAGCGATACCAGGAAGCCTCACGCTCCCTCTCTATTTATACATGAGGTAGGCAGCCTAAAGCCACGAACCAAACTCAAACTAGAAGTCCTAATCCCCATAGAAAACCTTCTCGTACAAGAAACAAACTTTACATAACCAATCATACCAAATTTGGACTCCTTCCAAATTCGACTCGTATGCCATATGGAATCTTCACCAACCAAGTGCATTGAACTCTAGCCTAAGTATCCCGCATGATATCTGATTGTCACGGGCATCGTCTTATCCCCAAACCGACTCCCGATCCATCACCTCCAATACTCTCCCTATTCACCTGCAAATTCCAATCATCTCCAAAACCACTTCGAAAATAAATTCCAAATATCAAAACCAATAATCTCCAATGCCTATTGTTCATCACAGAATAACAATAAAAAAACACTTTGATTTTACAAAATTTCCACGCTGTCACATGAATAGAGTATTAAACGTAGTGTAATAACGAAACAAATTACATATTCCGTCAGGAAACTGCGAGACGAATCTTTTAAGCCTAATTGTGTCATGATTTGATAATGTGGTGCTACCATAAACATTGCTAATGACGGATTAATTAGGCTTAATAAATTCGTCTCGCAGTTTCCTAACGAAATCTATAATTAGTTTTGTTATTATACTACGTTTAATACTTCAAATACGTGTTCGTTTATCCGATGGGACAACCAAACCCAAAACTTTTTCTCTACTACTAAACAAGCCCTAATTTTCAGGTCCCGAGATACTCACAAGGTCCACTGTCACGAGGAGTCTGTCGCCGTCGCTGCCAGCGACACCTCGCCACGAGCTCTCAGGACGTAAGGACCCTGATCCACCTACATCTACGTGTTGCGTTTATTCAAGGGGCAACTTCATTCTTGCCCCTACTTTAATGCCTTATATTAGTTTTGCCTTTACATTTTAGGTTTTTCTTTTGCTCTCACATTTTTTTGATTTTTTTTATATATAAACACATATGCAGCCCAATAATCACATATGTGCACTAATATAACAATTATATCAGTCAACTTGCGTCATTCAATTTTAAATACATTCACATAAATAAAGTTCCAAAGCAATATATATAACATAGGGGAAAAACACAATTAATGAAGATAAATAGGAGAAGGTATAAATGTCCTTTTATCAATTACTCAACACCGTTATCTTCACTATTCAATGCAGAGGTACAACTATCGTTCGGTTAAAAAATAAGTGTGAGCAAAAACGAAAACACTATAAAGTAGGAAGTAAAATCAACATTAGATATCAAAGTAGGAGCAGAAACGAAATTTGCAGTTTCTTTCCTTAATTATATTGTCTAACCAATAATTATATTTCCGGTGGTACAGGCGTCGCACCAGCGCTGACACCGGCGAGAGGGTACGCAAGCCGACCAGCTGCCGCTCGTCGCTTCCTCGGGGAGGAGGTTTGCGATGCACCACAGCTAGCGGCAGAGGTCGTCGGGGCATGCATGGAGAATGTCCCAGACCGACCTTGCTGCCGTGCCATCGCAGCCGTGGTTGACTTTGGATGTTTCTGTCCGGTGGCAGAGTCCTCCGTCATATTTTCAAACGGTATAACTCCTCCTGTGATTCTGACCTTATATGTGGAGTGCCGCGGCACCAAGAACGTATCTACCCTGGATCACTGTCTCGAAGGTAAACGTAGTTCAAATATTCAACATCTTTTTGTTTAATTTGATTGTGTAGTTTATTTAATAGATACGCCAAGGAATATATATTCTCTCTGGACTGATATTAAATATTTGTCTGTAGCATCTCCTCCACCGCCACCGTCACCGCCACCGTCTCCTACGCCGCCTCCTCCACCTACGACGCCTCCTCCATCCAGATCTGATACCCGATGACTAAGCAATGCCAACCTCACGGCAATTATCATCGTGGTTGTATTCTGTTTTGTTGGTATCATCATTGTACTCACGTGGTGGGTTAAGAGGACTGATTTTACTCATATGACGAGAGTTGAGATGAGTTCACTCCCGTCTCTGCCACCACCACCGCTACCGCCCGTTGCCGAGGATGGAGATGAGGAGGATGCGATGCTTTTGATGCATCGTGTGCGTTCAGCATTAGCCCGGCAGCAGCGCCAGCTAGTTAGCCGTTAGTATGTGTTTGTTGTCACTGAACAGTAATGGTTACTAGTCTGGTGCCTTGACTATGTCCATCTTTCATGGATTTTTATCTAAAGACATCGGATCACATAGCCTGGGGCAATGGTAAAGCTTATTTCATTTCTTTTAGTTTCACCTACACATTGCATCTGCTGGTACAAACTTTCCTAGCAATCTAACTATTTGTGCTAATTGCTTCATGATTTGATAATATGGTGCTATAGTAAATATTTACTAATAACGGATTAATTAGGCTTAATAAATTCGTCTTGCAGTTCACCGACGGATTCTGTAATTAGTTTTTTTTATTAGTGCCTGAACACCCCATGCAACACCATATATAATATCCGATGTGACACGCTAAAACTTT